AAGGTGGACACAGAACATGGCTCACTGCCTGACATCTAGCAGGACTAATGGACTGATGGGCACAGAAATCTGTACTACAATAAAGGCTCTAATTCTGTAGTAAAATTGAACTCATGTCCCTGGTGGCTTCCTGATGGCCACATATAAAAACAAAAGTAAAATTTAGTGGAATATAGCACATCACGAGCCCCCTAAATAAACATTAAGATTATGAAGAAGCACCGTGGTTACGAAGCAGTCTTTTTCCTAGCATAACTGCACGTCGTATGGTCACTTTGGAGACAAGCATAAGGAATACTCTCAAAATGTGCAGTATAAATACACACGTTCTTTCTTTAAAATCCCCTATATCTTGCATTGGGTAATATTCGAGAGTGTTCATGAGTGAAATTGTGTGATTCCTTGTATTTGCTTTAAAATGTTACAGTAAAAAGTATCCTGGAGGGACAAAGGAGACAGTGCCAAATGTTAACAGCCAGCAGATCTGGGTGACAGGCACTTAAGTTTCTTCATGCTGCTATCTGTTATCTTTATACTATCGTATCTGTGAAGCCCCTACCCATTTGATAATAAAACAGAATCACTTCAAACAAATTTCAGTAATAAAAATAGTAAAGGAAAAACAAAGGTATTTTCAAGTATCAAAAGTACTCCATTGGATAAGGTGGCACCTGGGAGGCAGAGGCAGGCAGATCTCTGTGAATTTGAGGCCAGCCTGGTTTACATAGCAAGTTCTAGGATAGCTGGAGCTACAGAGTGAAACTCTGTCTTTAAAAAATAGTGTACTGTATAACTTACAAGATTCTGTATATAACAATTTACATGACTTATAATACTGAAAGATTGCAAACAACTTAGGTATTAATCAGTAGGAAGTTAGTCAAATATGGCATATCCATATCTAATAAAATACTATGCAAAAATGAGAAAGAACAGTGTTGAGGAATGCAACAAGGGTCCCAGGGCAACACACACACACACACACACACACACACACACACACACACACACACACACACAGTCTTCTTGCCCACAGGCAATGTCTGGAAGAAGTTCAGCAGTGTTCTGAGTAATCATCCCTGAAAAGAGCAGTTGTAGTTGGATTTTTACTCTTTAGAAATTTGTTATTTTATGTGTATGGGTGTTTGGCTGTATATATGACTATATGTGCAAGCCTGATATTCACAGAGTCCAGAAGATGGCATTATATCCCCTTGACTGGAGTTATATATTGTTGTGAACCACCATGTTGGTCCTGGGAATAGAACCTGGGTCTTCTGGAAGAGGAATCAGCGCAATTCATGGCTAAGCTATCTCTCTAGTACCCAATTTTTAAAAATTCATTTATTGAATTACTCCACATTAGTAAAAACAATTTTTAATAGAAGTATGTACTGATTCTATAGCTGGGGATCACTATAGAAACTACAATTTTCTCATTGTGACATTCTTCCTAATAGAATGGTTTCATGTTAACATCATGACAGGCATTAAGTAATTCAAAATGAGAAAGGAACCATACTTCTGAGGACATGGAACCTAGAACAGATTTCTCTTATCTCTAAAAATGCAAATAGCCATTTCCAAGGCACATACAATATGTTCCTCAGCCACATGAGAGCATTAAAATGAAGATGTTTAAAACTACATAAGATATCACATCATATCATATATAGGAATAGACTTAGGTACCTTTTAGTTAACTTAAAACAGGTTGAAGATTCTATTAGCTATAGAAAGAAATAGCATTTGGAAAAGAAAATGTTTTCTAGTTGGTTCTAGTTGGAATGTATGCCAACAATTTTATGTGAAGAATATTTATGGATGTTTTACTAATGTTTTCTCTTAGAATAGAACAGATGGCAACAAGGAATAAAATGTTATTTCCAGATGTACAGTTTTGTGGATTTGGTGCCAAGGACCAAATTTAAGCATAGTTGGCACTGTAGCACTTCAGGGGTAGATTTCAACTTAATGATTAGCACTGGGACTTCACTTGAGGTCTGTTATTTGGGTCATGGCCAAGCAGAAGGACATTTTAGTGGGGTCATAGGCTTGCATGTTCGGTCAGCTGCTGTGGCTGCAATGCTGGCTCTGGCTTCCTGGTCAGTGAGACCCCAGGAGTAAAGAGAAGGGCGACTGGGGGGTTCTTTCTGAAAGCCATTCTTCTTTGGGTCTACACAATGGAAAACAGTTGTCTATTCACAGGGTATGCTGTTCCTACTTCCTTGCTAGTTTAAGCGTAGCTATCTCTATGTAAGTAATTTAAGTGAAATGAGTACATACAATTGCAGTTACTTGGTAAACAGTCTCTGTTCCACACTGTACTCAGCCTCTGGAATGCTGAAGGAATTATTAGGCTTTGTTGTATTGGATACCTGTATCAAATTGAAGAACAACATTTTGTTAAAAATTAACCATATTACTAACAGATTTGATTCTTAAGCAAGTTGGTCTCTCTTTTTAAAATTCTTTTGACAATTTAATGCATGTATATAGTGAATTTTGGTCATTTTCATTCCCAGTACCTCCCCAAACCCTTCTTCCTCTTCTACCAAAGTCCTTTAATACAAGTATGCTCCTACTCTGATGTCTTTATTTTGCTGACCAACTGAGTTTAATTTTGGTTACTTTCATGAGCATAGTGGGAAGTTATTTGCTGGAGCATGATCAACATGTCAGTGACTACACCACCGAAGAAAATGATACCTTATCCTTAGTATCCCTTAACAGTTTATATTCTCTCAGAGTGAGTGGGAACTCATGAGCCTCTTTCCCATTCCCATGAAATGTTGGTAGGCCCAATCTTCTTCAGGTCTTTTGTAGGGAACCATAGCTAAAGTGAGTTCATGGGTGCAAGGGACATTGTTTCACAGACCCCCTTCCCCATCCTCCAGCTCTGTCATCCTTTCTGCTGCCCCTCCTACAGTGTTCTGTGAATCATCGATGTCCTTTGTGATGTTTTTATTTGTTTTTTGAGACAGGTTTTGTCTGTGTAGCCCTGGCTGTCCTGGAACTTGCTCTGTAGACCAGGCTGGCCTCAAACTCACAGAGATCTGCCTGCTCTGCCTCCCAAGGCCTGGGATTAAGGGTGTGCGTGCATCATCACTGCCCCGCTGTCCTTTTTAAGGTGGAGCAAGTGGGCTTTCTTAATAACCACATTTCTAAGTCAACCTGGGCAAATTATTTACATTCTTATTTAAGGGTCTAAAAGTCTAGCCTATTATGAATTTTTCCAGATTGGAAGAAAATGCAGATCTTCACCTGTTTCTTAGAGGAACCAGGTTGCCTCTGCTGTGCAGCATTAGAACGATGCTTTGTAGAAGATTTTGAAGACTGGAGACATAATTTCCATCTGTTCTTCTGGGATGCTTTGCTCGATATCAGGCCATGTTCAGCTCCATCTGCTTCTCTAGTTAGATTTGCCAATTGTTGCTGTTGTACTTGGGAGTCTTCAGTTTCTAAGTCTGATTCAAAAATGTGTGGCTGGCTTTTGAGTTTTAGTGACTCGTGGCTTTTCCCTAAAATTTGTGTTATAAAACTGCTTGTTAAATTGTCCTTTCCACTGGCGTGGCTGTCAACAGCATTTCTTATTGAACTTACACTGTTACTTGACATTTGTGTCATGGCAGTAGTAGGCAGAGGTTTGCCTGCACTGAGGTGCGCTGTCAGTTTAGCAGCAGAAGAGGGAAGTTCCCTCTGGAGCTCCCAGGTATCAGTGCTTATCCCTAGCGGAGGTCTGAAGCTCTTCTGATTGATGTTCCTAGCCTGTACTTGAATGTTACCGTCTGGTGCTTTTCTAGTAGCTGAACCTAAACTTGCTTTGCCTCTCTGGGTTACTCTAGTTTTCTGTGTCAGTAGGATAGGCTCTGTAACAGTGCTCTGGTTTCTTTCCACGTTGCCAAGCGCTGAGATGTCTTTGCTTGCTTGCGCAGATTTCCTTTTGAAGACTGGTATGAATGCCGGGGCTCTCTTACTTTGTGAGCAAGGGTGACTGCGTTGAACCTGTGCATTTTCTCTGCTGAGCTTTGACTCCCCCACAAGTAGCTGTGGTGCCTGGTGAGGCCAGGAGGGCTTTCTGTCCTGAGGAGAACATGGCTGGAAGCTCCCAGCTGAAAACAAGCCTGAACGCGGCTGGCTGACAAAGGGCTCCACCTTGTGGTTGGCTGCTGTTGGCTGAGGGACCAAACATAGAGGCCCTGTGGGGTTCCGCAAAGGGGCTTGAGTTAGAGAAGCTCTGAAGGGTTTCTTAGTCGTCAGATTGGGGGGTTTGACTTTATTTTCCTGGAAGGGTAGAGATTAGGGGAAATTATGTAATAATTGTAAGGGAAAATTGAAGGAAAACACGAAGTATCAGGACAAGAATATAAAGTAACACTAAAATGCATAGAACCGTTGAAAAAGAGACTATAAATGAGCCTTCTGGTGTAATGTGTAGATTTCTCACGGCACACTGTAACCCTGTGTAAGTCAACTGTAAAAATCACACACAGCTACCAAGTCCAGATGTGCTCAAGCACTCTTCTAGCTTCCTGAGGTCCCTCTTCCCAGCTCTCTGTTGTGGCCTCTCCTTTCTTTAAAGTCCTATCATGAGTCCTCCACCAGTCAAGCTATGGAGGAATGACCTCTTATTTCAGTTTTCAAGGCTCCCTTACTAGTTAGTATTTATTCATCATTTAAAACACAAGGTTGTATGGTTTCGTGCCTTAGTGTGGAGTGTAAGAACTGTGCTCATTTAGTCTTATCTCTTCCGAAGTTACTGAGAAATACTCACTAAAATGATCTAACAGAGGGGTGGATACATCTACACAGCACCTTTAAGTGAGACTTTGACTTCAGGGAAGAGAGGCCTGTCTTAAGCCTGCTTATGTGTTTATGTCCACCACAGTTTCTGGTGTCTAGCAGTGACTCAGCAAATATTTGACTAGTTGGATGCAGCCAAGCGATCCAAGCACATCCTCTCCTTTATAATCTGTTTGCCTATAAAATCAAGTTTTACCATGCTCACTTCTGAGCACACAGACTAAAACTGTAGTAATTCCGAGATTAGTATGGCCTCTGAACAAGAGTGACAGGCAGATTTGTGAAGTGCTCCATATTTAGAATAAAGAAACAAATGAAAAGAAACAAATGTTCCCATTACATTGTTCTAGGTGCACAATTGGGAGTCCTCTAGTACACTTACCACTGAACTGGGTGATAGAGCTGTCACCTACATTGTCTTCATCCCACACAAAAACAAAACTTTGTATTTTGTAAATAATAATTCACACTTCCTCTTACACTGGCATTCTGGTAAGTTCTGCTCTATTTTCTTTTGCTATGCACCTGCTCATTCTAGATATGAGATCACACAATATTTTTCTTTTAGTGTTGGCTTTATTTCACCTAACATACTATTTTTTCAAGATTCATGTATGTTGTAGCATGTATCAGAGTTTCTTTTCTTGTGGTTGACTATTCCACTGTATGTATACATGACAGTTTGCTTATCTGTTCAGTTGCTGATGGACAGTATCTCTAATGTTTTAAAATAAATGTTTACTGGGCTTCAGTTTCTAAAGAACAATTGCACTAGTTAGTTTTTGTCAACTTGCCACAAGTTAGCGTCAGCTGGGAATAGGGGGTCTCACCTGACTGAGGAACTACCGATATCAGATTGGTCTATAATTAGGCCTGTAGAGGTATTTTCTTAATTAATCATTGATATATGAGGGTCCAGCCCACTGCGGTGTTCTTCAGTTACATAAGAAAGCTGGCTTAGCAAGCCATGGAGAGCAAGCCAGTAAGGACCATTTCTTCACAGTACCTGCCTCTGCTCCTACTTGAATTCCTGCTGGGTTTCCTCTTCTCTACAAAGAGTACTAGATAACCAACATCTCCACAAACCACTGTCCTTGCCTTATACACACTATGTAAGCACACAGGTGCTGTCATGAGAAAAATCATAAGTTTGGCTGAAATTCCACCAAATACATTGTCAAACTGATTGAGTAACTCTGGAGAGCAAATGTTTTCCCATTGCCTTGAAAGAAACATATGTAAGAACAAAGTTAAAATTGATTATTGATAAGCAAAGAACACTTGCCTTTTAGATCCTTGGGTTTCACAAACTGTATGTTTTTTAATGTATTCATTACTTGAGGTACGCAAAGAAAAACTCTAGGCAGATTTGGGTAAGGACAAATTACTTGCTTTCTGAGATGTGTTATATTCACACCAGCTTTTCTTCACCTGTCTGAGACGCACATCTGGTGAGAGTAGTTTCCAGGATACCAGTTTGGCCCCTCACTTGTCAATATATTATTCACTCTGTTTTAATTTTTAAAATACCATACATAGCCAAAAGGGAGGAAACTTTTAGGTTTCTATTCAAAATGTATAGAAAAGCAAAAGGGGCCTATGTAAACAGCAGATGAGATCATAAATAATTCACAGAACTTAAATAATCTTAAACTGTCAGCAAACTGAAGCTCTGTGAAGCCATGAGTTGATTAAAAAGCATATGCTTCACTATTCATCTAGATGTTGTTGGAAAATGTAGCTTGGTAGAATTTTAATTTCCCAGATGTACATAATGAATACAACTTTGTTTAATGATATAAAATTATATGAGCTAAAAGTTTTACGATATCCAATAGAATGCCAGTACTAAGGTAATTGTAAGAAGAACTTGAGAAGTCTACCACTTATCTAGGCTATGTGGTTGGATGTCACCGAAGGGGAAAGTCTTTCTGTTGCACCCAGGCACTTGGTGTGGGAAGATCAGGACAGTGTCTTCCTTCCTGTTAACCATAAAACATCCAGGAAGGTTGAAGCAAAAAGGGGACAGGATGCTAAGGCTTAGCAACACACACACACACACACACACACACACACACACACACACCATGATTGCTGAACCTGGAGATAATGTAATCCAGGGTGCCACACTTTGTCAAAACTAGCAGTAATGGGCAGTGTTATAGAATGTCAGGGGAGGGAGCGATAAAATTAAAAAAAATATTTAAAAAGAAAATTGAAAATTAACCAGAGTGACTAATCAGATGTTCATTATTTATTAAATTGTGGTTATATGTGCGGCACCACACTTGAGGAACACTCAAGAGGGTTATGCAGCTTGGATATTGTCCCCTATGAGGAGCAATGGTCTCCTGACAGGGTTGACCTTAGCTGTGGGAACATGCTTTGGCTGCTAATTTCTTTGCTTCCTTCACAGGGCTCCCTGTGTAACTCCTAAGGGCTGACTCTGACAAACATGTGAGCCCTGGACTCCACCCTAGAATGCTCCCCCCGCCCAATCTGGGACAAGTGCTCTCATCACTACCACTGTACCTCACCCCTTTTTCAGCTGAGGAAACTAAGGCACAAGGAGATCAAAGGTCTGCTCCAAATCACGAAATGCCAAGGAATTTGGATCCAGACAGCCATTTTTCAGAGCCTGAGCTATCAACCAGAAATCTAGGGTTTATTTGAATTCATCTTCTTGATTATTGTGCTAAGAATCTGACCAGGCTTCAATTTTAAGTCAGAAATGTATTGACTTTGTGTTGGTGAGGACACTTGAACTCTGTGCTGTGGGTCCCACTGTAGCATTGAGAAAGCAATTCTTAATCCCAAGAATCCTTACTGAAAATTAAATGAGGTAGTATACAGAAGCAGCTGGCACATAGAATATCAGGCATAAGTAGAATAAAACCTCATTGTCAACAGCAGTGTGCAGACAAGAATTTCAGTTAAGTGCTACTGTACATTTATGAAAAGCTTTGCAAATTGGATATGGGCTGAAAATATGATGTATGCAATATGTAGTCAATACAAATGTATGATGTGTCTATTCAGCAAAGATTCCTCAGATTGGATTTGGCAAGCAATGTAATTTTTAAAAATTTGATGCCAGCCAGACATGGTAGTGCATGCCTTTAATCTCAGGGCTCCAGGAGGACTAGTGGCAGATCTCAGTGAGTTTTAAGTCCAGCCTACTCTACAGAGTGAGTTCTAGGACAGCCAGAGCAACATAGTGAGATTTTTGTCTTAAAAATTAAAAAAATCCATACTTTTGTTAATTTTGAGATATAATATAGGTATCAAATAAGGCATTTGTCCACTCACACTCCTTTTCAGGAAAGCATGTTGCAGAATGAAGGGAGATACGGTGCTCTATACAGCTGATGAAGAATTCATGCCTAACATGCTATAATAATACCTATCAATGAAATTGGCAGACAGCCTTTCAAAACAGATATCCAAATATTAGTATACATAAATAATCAAGACATGCACATTAAAAGCAGATGATAATAAGCATATCTGCCAGAGTTGCTAAAGTAAAGGTCAACAATACCACATATGAATAAGGGAAAGGAGCAACAGCCAAAGGTTCACAAACTGCTACAGACACACAGACACTGTGGGAGATAGCCTGGAATAGTCCTACACTTGGAAATACACATACTGATTCTACATTTATGAGATATGTGTACATGGCCTAGAGGATGTCTACTAGAATGTTCACTACCACATTACTGCAAATAGCCCTCAAACAATCCAGCTGTCAATCAACAATATTCTGGAAAAATTAACAGCTATGGCATAACCACATAACTGTATGGAAATGGAAGGGAATGGACTGTAGCTTAGTGGAACAACACAGATGAGTGTCACAACACTTTTCTAAAGCAAAGATACAGTCTTAGAAACACAAACAATGCTTTCTCCTGCATAAAATTCAAAACTGGACATCACTAAAACCTTGCTTTTACATACATGCTTCCTAAAGACAAAGGACCATCAGAGGAAGTCATGACAGTGGTTACCTCTCTGAACATACAGTAAGGAAAATGAGAGCAGGATGCTGCACTGGGTTACACGAACAATTATACAACAAGATGTATGTGTATCCTTTCTCTGTGTGTATAGAATGGCACAATACAAACAGATTGTAAAAGGCAGGGGTGGGGCCAGAGCCAGAGGTAACTCTCCTCCCCTTAAACATTTCCAGCCCTAGAAAATATAAAAAACCGGAATAGTTTTCAGGTTGTGTCTTCCTCCCCTGTTCTGCTAAGTCTGGGGTGTAGCAAAATTCCCAAAGAGCCATATCTTCTGACACTTGTCTGTCTGCAGGGAGCTGGGGAGCCAGGTTTGTGTGCTGGTTTCCTCCTGAAATTATTGCAGAGGCAAACACTGGTATGGCTTTCCTCATGCTGCAGGGTTCAGAGACACCCCTTCCTGACTCCACCTGGTGGGCAGCTGCCACCAACTTCTACTGAACAGGCCCGCCCTCTCCCCCAGCCCCCGCATTCAATATGTCAAGGTGAACACGTCACAAAACTCTCTCTTAATCGACAATAACCCTTCTTGTGCACATCTAGATATGGATGAAACATATCAGAAGCAATGATTGTGTATCATATGAAATACAATAATAGCAAACTGCAGGGCAAAGAGTTAAGTAACAATAACAACAAATAGCATTTGTGAGACGGTGTACTGAGAAAAGTTTACTAAATAATTCAGAGACCCTGGATGAGATAAAAGTACATCTTACCTGTTTTTGTGGTCTGCTAAGCTCCTGTGTGTAGTAGCATGGCTTATTTGTCATCTTTATGGGAAATCCACATATGTGTGGCAGTTTAGATTTTAAATCTGAAAGGAAACTTTTCAACACACCTTCCAAATCCACCCTTGGGAAGAATTGAATGGGCTGACTTCTGATGCAGCTGAGAGGGTACCTGAGCACGATTAAAGATTAAAGAGCAACAAAAGATTTCTGTCTGCAGGGCAGAGAAAATTTTAAGCTGGCGGCAATGTCCACAAGACATAGACAGACAGATTCTATTTTTATGTTACATCTTACAGTTGTCAAAGCTAAAATGCATTGTTTCATTCCTCCTATTTTAAGTTTATTTTTATTATCAAATTGTGTGTGTGTGTGTGTGAGATATGACACAATCAAGGTGACTCACTGTGTCTTCATTTTGTAAATATAATTGTAAGTAGAGTAGATTACAATATCTCAGGAAAGATTTATAAAGAATGTGCCATCCGTCACCTGTACACACAGAGAAAAAGAACAAAATTTGTGAACAGTAAACTGCTCCTAT